TGGCGGATGTGATCAGCCCGGAGAAGTACCAGCGACTGGCGGCGGAGTATGCCAAGGTAATCTAATAAGTGGTGTGTTTGGTTTCTATTCTAAACTCGCTTTCTATTGCAGCTACGAGCCCAGTTCGCCGTGCTGAAGAAGGGCGTCCTCGAGGAGAAGGCAAAGAGCGAGGAGCTGGCGGAGACGGTGAAGGCCCGCGACCAGGCCGCCCGGCGAGCCGCCCAGGAGACGGAAAGTCTGCTCTTTCGCAACCAGCAGCTGACCAAGCGGATTGCCGTCCTGCAGAACGACATTGACGAGACTGCCGCCGCCGCCTCGACGCCGCAGAAACGAGCCGCCGGATTTCTCTTTGCCGGAGGAGATGGCCATGGCAGCGCACAGAAGAATCGAAGCGCCTCAAACGCCTCAAGTGCCTCATTTTCAGCTGTAGGAGCTGGAGCCTCAGCGGTGAACGCCGACCTCGTCGAGGAGATTCACGCCGAGCTGCGCAGCAAGCTGGAGGAAAATGACCGCCTCCAGGAGCTGGTGCGGACGATGGAGGCGGACCGAGAGCAGGAGCTGAAGGCCCTCGAGCGGCGACTCAGGGAGGAGGCCGACTCGGCGGTCAACGCCCGGCTGGAGACGCTCAACGGCGAGCTGAAGGCGCTCACCGGGGAGCTGGCGAAGATGAAGGCGGAGAAGGGCGCCCGGGAGGCGAAGCTGGCCGAATGCCTGAAGAGCCTCCAGGAGACGACCGCCTCGGTGGAGACGCTGTAAGTGAAATGGGGGGTAGTTTTGTNGGCGCCCGGGAGGCGAAGCTGGCCGAATGCCTGAAGAGCCTCCAGGAGACGACCGCCTCGGTGGAGACGCTGTAAGTGAAATGGGGGGTAGTTTTGTTTACCCTTTTCTAACTCCTTTGTTTTGCTTTTTGCAGGAAAGAGGAGAACGCCCAGCTGAAGAGCCGCGTCCTGGTGGCGGAGAAGCAGGTGATTGCCGTCCGGCAGAATGCACGGCTGCAGGCGGGCAAAACCGCTTCGACCTTGAGCGGCAGCGGCCGCCAAAGTCAGCTCGTCTCTGAGGTGCCCGAAGATGAGATGATTACCTTTTCAGCCGCACAAACCATTTCTGCCCAAACCACCTCTTCCACGCCCTTCTCTGCAGTGCCAAACGGTGTGCTGGGCGCTGCTGCTGGTGGTGGTGTGCCTCGGTCGGGCAGCTTCTCCGGCATCATCCGCTCCTCGGGCTCCTTCTCTCGCGGTAGTCGCAACAGCAACAACACTACCAGTGGCATTATTCGCTCCGGCTCGCTCTCCGTCAACCACTCGGGCTCGCCGGCGCTCGCCT